ATTTTATGATGGTGAACCTTGGCTGGGGTGATGCCTTAGGAATATTAGGTATGGGTTTATGATTAGGTTTTTGAAGTGATACACTTTTTGTGAAGCTATAATCCATTAAAAAAACAATAACATCAAGCCTTTATGCCACTACATGGGGTTGGCTACATGAATCTTTTTTCTTCATTAAGCCCTATTAAGAGTCAAATTCTTATTTAAATATAATAAAAAGGGCTATTTCTAATACTTTCTAACCAAATCTTTTTAGGTGTACCTCTACCTTTCTTAACATAAGATAGATCTAATGCATCTACTCTCCTAACTGGGTCATCAAAAGATTGGCGTTTTATGTGACTAGATCATCTAAGACGACTCTCTCTAATCTTATCTACCATTGGAGCTTCTTAACTTTTTCACATATATATTCATTAAGCATTTTATCTCTAAGAGTAAAGTCACTCATCCACATGAGCATCCTCATCTCTACACTACTTAATTTTATACATCTCTTTTAGCAACCAACATTCATCACTTTAAAGCATTGCAAGTCTCACCACCATCTTAATCTATAGTTCATATCAATAAAAATACACCAACTGATTCTAATGACTACAAGTAACCAAAAATGATCTACCACATTTATAATATTTTATTAAATATTTAATCACTTTAAGAATTAAAGATCTTCAAAATTAAGATATTATAAAGGAATCTAAGCTAGGGCCAACCAACGATGTTGCAAGAGAGACAATGGGAACATAAGCTAGAAGAAGTGTAGGTTATAGAAGACAATTTGGGTTTCATACCAAGAAGAACCACAATAGATGTGAGTTTTTGTGTTATAGCAATTTAATAAAAATGTATAGAGAGTAGAGAAAGGATCTTCACACAATTTTTATTATCTTTAAAAGGCATATGATCAAGTATTAAGAGAATTGGTTTGGTGTGCATTGAAAAAAGAGATATACATAGAAGTGATGTATGATAAACCATTAACTACTATTATTAGTTATGTAGTGATTAAATATTTAAGTTAAAAATAGGATTATATTCGGAATCATTATTGAATCCACACCTTTTTATGTTAAGTTACGGAGAAGCTTACAAGGAATATTCACAGTTAAATACCTTTAATATAAGCGCTTTGCAGATGACAAAATTCATAAAGTTTATCCCAAAAGTTGGGCTAAGGTTAAAGATGATAGGGATTTAATCATCTTAAATATGCCTAACTTAAAACTTATAAACAAAATTCACTCAGCTTCTTCCCCAACACAAACTTGTTGAAACTAAAAATCAAAGGAAATAATTCAGTGATAGCTTTTTTCCCTTTCTAAATGTTTTGGAGAGGCTAGGACAGTGCTAAAAAAAATTTGCTTATTCCATAATAATAAAATAACAAAATGAAATCCTCTACATTTGTTATACAATTTACAGAAAAAATTAGAAGTGTAATAATTTAATAGAACGAATAAAGAATAATTTGTTTTCCTATATTAATTTCAAGTTGCATTGGACTGAGCCGATTTAAGGTTGAAAATGTTCTGGCCCAATTATGTAAGGTGTTCTGAGGTCCAATATTATTGACCTTCAACTAGGTGAATTGAAGGATTCAACTTTATCATGGTATATATCAGATAACGCGTCCTGTAACGTACCTGGCTAGAATTCGATCTTCTTATTATAATTTTTTATGGAAAGCATTTACTTTAATATAATAGGCATAAACCAAAAAGGCAACAGTATGTAACAATCATTTTGCCAACTGATTAAAACAGACAATGATAATCATATATACATATACATTGGTGTTAGTTTTTTAAGAGAAATAGCCCAAATAGTCCCCTAACTATTTGTATGCAGCCAATTTAATCTTATAGTATCACATTTATCCAATTTAGTCCTTTGACTATACAAAATTAATCCCAAACAATCCTATTAATTTTGTATGTTTAAATTAGTTTGGAAATAAAAACTTAAAAGAAAATTAATCCCAAACAATCCTATACAAAATTAATCCCAAACTAAATTAAGATCAATTTTGTATGATTGAGGGCCCAATTTGGGATAATTTTTAGAGCCCCATTATGTCAATTTCTACCTTAGATACCATTTCAAATTAATTTTGTATAGTTGAGGGACTAAATTGGAGAAATGTGATAATTTTTTATTAAATAGATCCTATATTAATATTTGGAAAACTATTTTAAGTTTTTCATTAGGTATTAGTAGAAATGGTTTGCTATTAGTAGAACAAAGGCTTAGAATGCGATAGTTATCTTAGTTGATATTTAAATTAGTGACAATGAATAAATGGTATTGGAATTTTTTGTGATACTTAATTATAATGTCTTTGATATCTTTGATTCCCAATGCAAGGAAAAAGAGATAAATGAGGATAAATCTGAGTTCTTCAATTGAAGAAGTCTCCAGATTCTAAATGCTGAGAGAATATCTATACGTATTAAAAAAAATTATAAAACCATAATAACACAAACTAATTTATGTGAATTTTTTTTTTCGGAAACATAAAAATAACAATTAAGTTGAGTGCAATAATACTCAAAATCTAAGATGGATGGGAAAATATTATAATAATAATAAAGTACAGAAGTTTAAATGCTTAATGTTGGAGAGTATATGGGAATAAAAACTTTCAAAAATAAGTTTACAGAAAATTGATTAAATTGGTTTTGGACATGTACAAGAGCAAAAGTTGTACGAATAAGGGAAGCGGAATTAAATCAATGAGAAAGAAAGAGCAATTAAAAAGAGTGGGACAAAAGGTATAGTTAGAAATTGTGCAAAGTAGTTGTTGAGGTCAAGCTCATGAAAAATAGAATTAGATCTGATTTGTCACGCAAACGAAAAACAAAAGGCAATTGAGTAAAATTAAAGTAAAAGTTAATGGAAAAAAAAAAGCATAGAACAAGGGTAACATGACAAGATGTTGGGCAGAAAGATCTGCATAAACTAACCTAAACATCTCGTGTAATACTACATGCAAATGAATGGAAAGAGAGGGTTTATAAATACAACATTGAATAGTTGGGATAATGCTCCTAATGATAATGATGATGATGGTGATAATGATGATAAAGATGAATTAGAAGAAGCAACACAATCAGAACCCCAACTGTCATTTACCATAATTAGATATTGATTCTTAAACACCTTTGTGTTAGCAATAAGCACTGACAAGAACAAAATAGTGTTTACATATTGTCATTTGTAAAATGCTACGATGCAAAGGATACAACTAAAGGACACATGTGATAATGTAAAAAAGGTAACTTACATGCCGTCAAAAGATAAAAGAGATAAAAAGCACACAAAATTTATAAGCCTGGCAATCCACTTAATGCCTGTGTCGAATATTAAAAAAGTGAATGGACAAAACCATTGTTGCTTTAAATTTAGTGAACTTTGGATGAAAAAAACATGAAATACGACAGGATTTTGTGGATGATAAAGCAGGATTTCAAAAGGAAAAATATGGATAAAATCATCTTAAGAAAAATATATCTGCTATTATAAATTATAGACATTCTAGAAAATAATTTTGCGTGTTCTCACTTGAAATAGAACGCTAATACTAGTATGCTAATTGGTGATCAACAGACCTAGCTAATTGAAAGATGTGGAGTAAGAATAGGTATGGCTGCTCTTAAAGTAGAACTTTAAAATTGTTTCACAAGATAGGCTTACACCATATCAATGCAGGTGAAGTAGAAGTAATTCAAACATAAGCTGCATAAACTTTCTATAAGCAAATCCCTTTTTACTTTAACATTCCTGAGAAACATTGAATAATCTAGCTCCCTTGAAAACAAGGCTTCTGTTTACACTTTTCCCCCAACATTTTCAATATACTAAATAGGGATATTCCATTTTTTTCTTTATGAAGTCCAAATAAGTTATAAACTACATTTTCTTTGGTGAAATCCCTAGGAGAAGGTTGCGCAATACCCACCAGCCGCCGGAGGAGTCCGAGCTCGTGGTTGTCTTCTTTTCTTTCTCCCCTTATCCTCCATAACCCGCCACTTCTCCTATTTTTTTCTTTGTTTACCCCTTCCTCCCCACTCTTCCTAAACCTAGCCTTCAAACCCACATATTGCCGCCCACAATTCTTCCACCACCCAAAACCAGCCAGCCTCCCCAAAACTCCCTAACCGCCGGCTTCCCCTAGGGCTTCCCTAGCTGCCGGCCTCGCCTCTATTTGACTCCATGAATTTGAATTTCAAAATTCAGATTTCCATTAATTACTTTCCTAAAATAACTTCTTGTTAATTTGAAAATTTTTTGAATTTGAATTTAAATAATATTTGAAATCAAAAGCTTCCCCAAATTAATAAACCCCTGGTAGGAAACCCCCTTCAATTCTCCCTCAAGCTGAATTTAATTGGATCTAATTCCAATTACTCATACATCGAACCTAGACACACCCTCTCCTCTCCTTCTTTGGCCGCCCCATCCTCTCTCTCCCTTAATCAAATCTTTCCACTAAAGCTCCCTCAATCAAACCCCAATTAATTCCCCTACATGGCCGGCCCCTACCTCTCTCCTATCCCATTAATTTTCCTAAGCTTGTGTTTACCGCTCTTTATGTTTTATTTCATTATATAAATCACCATAAAGATGTAATTAACTTGCTCTTAATCATTAAGCGTGCAGAATCCTTATCTAAATCGTAATCTCATATATGTCTTGCATCAACTATATTGCCTTAATTAATCCCATATATCCATACAGCAGAATAAAAAACAAGATGAGTATCATCATGCGCCTTTCACAAGAAAAGGCTGGTTCGGTATTCTAATCTCACAGCTATGAACTCAGAATAAGAATTCCCCTTATAAAAGGTACTAATATCTTAAAGCACTTAATACCAGCAACCATAAATCATATCTGAGCAACGCTAATTAAGTTATCAAAAGTAACATAAAGAATTCATCATAAAGAACCATCCCCAATGTCACAATTCATCCTATTAACGACTTAACCAACAATACCTTGCCTCCTTCAATCCCAAACTGGAACAATCTGATTCCATTCGACCTCAGGAACTCCCAATTCGCCTCTGGATACGGCTCAGGACACAAGCATCTGAAAATCCCCCAAATAAACAAACAAACAAAACCCAAAACCAATTAAAACAATTAAATCGAACAATGCCCACTCGATTCCAAGAGCAAACCACCAGCCACTTACAGAACGCTGCGGAGCTTGAGTGTCTGCAAGAAGCTGAAATTGGCGACGTCCGGGAATCCCGAGCGGAATAAGCCGTTGTCCACCATCGCAAAGTTAAGCGGCGGCACGAAGAGATCCTCGCCGCCCTCCCTCGCCGGTCCGAAAATCATCGGAGGCGAATAGCAAGACTTGTCGATGACCTCATCATCGTCTTCGTCATCGTACTCCTCCATCTCCGGCGACGTCTCCTGCTTTCCAGTCTCCAACTTCATCGGAATATTCCCGAACCTCGAAGAATCTTATCGAGATATTCGACTAAAAGCGAAGCAGAAAGAGGGTATCGGGTTTCACATTAAAAGGGTCCGAATCCGAACGTTTGTAACGGCTGCGAAGCTTGACCAAAGAATAAGGGAAGGTTCAAAGAATATTCTCCATAGAACTCAGTACATTTTCAATAAAATAAATATTATGCGTTAGTTTTTAAATTGTGAAAATAAACGCACGTAGCTTTGAAATATAATCTATTTATAAAAAATTGTCATTTTATTTATTTCTTAATTATCAAACTTCTCTATTTAAGTGTGCCACAACTAAATAGTAGAAAATTTGACAAAATTAAACAATAAGAGTGGGGCACATCATATTTAGCTAAATGGTTTTAAAATAGAGAGAAATAGTTATTAATTTAATAAATAAAAAAATTAGAACGTTATAATTATTCTTTAAAAAAATTAAAATCTTATTATGAGATGAGGATCAAATTTTGGTAGCTTGATTAAAAAAATCAAAATTTTAATGATTCTTGTTGGGATTAACTAATATGTTGATATATATATATATATATATATATATATATATATATATATCATCAAAAAACCCCCCCCTCTCTCTGGTTAGCACGTGGGACATCTAAGCTTAGTTAGACAACCTAATTCATAGAAATCAAGTTTCAACATATGTGACTATGCGAAATTATTTCTTGCGTATATGATGCACCGCTGCATGTAAATTTACATCAAGTGCATGTTTCAGCCCCTCTTGAGGTATAATTGAGTTGGGAAAACTTCAATGTGCTATTTCTATAATCAAAATGGCTTCATTGATCGGACAGTTTGGAGAGAGCAATCAAGTGATTCTAGAATGCTATATTTTCTCCATAATTGGTTATAAGCCTAATGTTGGTATCTAGTCTTTGGCAATATTCATCTATCCTTTATAGGCATTCTTGTGATGAAAGATAGGAGATTTTTCATATGATTAAAATATGAGTTGCACATGGATCTAAAGGATAGTCTGCGCTCCCTATTGGCTTGAAAGCAATTTTCATGGATATTAGAAAAGGTGAAGTGCTGCAGTTGAACCTTCTGTATCATCTTATGCAATTAAATGCTGAGGATGAGAATAAAATGAATTGAGCATGTTTAGTTCCAAAGAAATCATGGTTGAATGATGGATTCCTCTTGTTTATTCTTCACAATTTTGGTTTCCCTTTCACTAGGTTGAAATTTAATATATAAAAAAACATTCAGTTAGTGTGATTGGACAAGACAATTTATGAATGGGTGTCATGAGATTGCAAGTTAAGACTAGGACACTCTTTGTTAAGTCTTTTTGCCACTCTTCAATAATGATGATAGTTGATTTTAGCTTTTGACAAATTGATCTATATAGTTTTGTCATCTTGAAATGAGATCCTAGTTGAATTCATCTACATAAAACTATTGTGTGAAATATTAATGGGTTGTTTAGAAAGATTGAGCTTCTTTGCCAAAATTTCATCATCATGCTTGCGTAGAATCTCAAACCTCACTTATTTGGGTTATGAGGAGATTGTTTGTTATAAGTTATTGACGGATTCTTGACGTCCCTTCCATATTCTCCCCTTGAATCTCATTTTCCTCCCCCTACTTGCTCCAAATCTCCCATGAAAGGCCCAGTAATTGGAAATGGTTCGTTGAAAGTCTACTAGTGGTCCTTTTTTTTTCACTTTTGAAGCAATTGCTTTAGCCTTTAATAAAAAAAAAAGTGGTTTGAAATTAAAGTTGGAAAAATGAATAATATGCCTTCAAGTTTGAAATTTCTACACCCCCCCCCCTCTCTTGGTAGCCGTGGACATAAAGCTTAGGTCTAACAACCTAATTCATAGAAATCAAGTTTCAACATATGTGATATGCGGAATATTCTTTGTTATATTGAATTGCACCGGTGCATGTAATACCAAGTCAAGTGGTTATGTGCCTACTCCTTCAGCCCTCTTGACGTATTCACATCTCGTCTCTGTTGTGAATATAGCCTAGCGATGTAAAGATAAACCTTTTCTATATTCACATAATCTAAGCGATTAGCATCATTAATATGCAATGTTGTGCCAGAGTGAGAATCTCACGTCAATTCAGAGACACACTTTTATATTTCTTAAAGCTAAACATTTCAAAAGTTCCGGAAAAATAACTCCACTTATGACTTTCCTAACACCATATATTATTCTCCTAATATGCTCTCTTCCATGAGATTTAGCAATAGCGTTGAAGAAATGAGATTCTAAGGGAAGAATATGATAGAGACCCCTCCCAAACAATCCCGTCCCAATAAAATCCTATCCATAATTAATGGTGAGTCACGAAGCCCCAACACATTGCTCGGACTTTAAGCTCAAAAATTAAGTTGCAAGGGTATTTGAACCAGATCTAACTCCATAAAAAGCATTATATATTATGAAATATGTAATGGAATGAAATATTGATATGACCAATATGATTAGCTTCCTTATTTATTCCTAAAAAAAAAAGAGCACCAGTTTTGCAACATGAGGTATCATTCTTATAATCCTCGTACCGAAAGTCTCTAGTGCTCTTCCTAGTGTCTTGAAAAAGCTACGTATTATTTCACTGAAATCCGTACTATATTTATGTACCACAAAGTAATATATAGCCAATCGAACCTTCATCTATATACAAATATGCCTAATGAATTGTGTTGAGGATACCCTAAAAAAATAAATAAATGTATAGCCACTCCAAGAAAAAACAATAGTGTCTGAGAACTATTACGGCAATCATATATGTGTGGCCATAATATTCTGTTATAATATTTTATTGAAAGCCTATAACCAACATTTCAGTCTCTAATCGTGTTGTAAAAACTATGCAAATTTTCATGAAAACACCCTATTATCACTATTAAATCAACAAAACCATCCTCAAAAATCATGTGTTATGCAAAGAAATTTTGTTTTAATGATAGCGTGTCATGAGATTGCAAGTTTAGATTTAAGGACTCCCATTTAGTATCAAAATAAATTTATCTTTATTATCCATTCATCACAAATGAATGTGTAAAAAATCTGACGCATAAAAGATCTTATAAAGAATTGTAATTAACAATATAAGTGGTGTTAATCCCTGCAAATAGAGTCAATTATGTTCAAGACATATACTATTTTCTTTGGAACAAAATGCACTAATAAAACATAGCCTATTCCTGATAGTGAGATTCATTATATATTACTTATGGGTTCTAGTTTAGAACAGCAAATTGAACAAATTCTATATCGATTTAGCAAAGAAGAATATTAATATAAAATTCGATAGATGTCTCAATACCCTGCACTTCACCTTGTTCTAAAATACTCAAACCAAATGATAACTACTATTTTTCAATCACTGGGAGATGTGCATAATCTGCTATAAGTAGTTGAACGCAGTTATTGCAACATTGAGTCAATCCCATTGTGCAAATACACTCAATTAATTCTTTGAATTCTACTCAAATCAATAACAAACACACATACACTTTCTATCCTTCAATAATCTCAAAATGTAGCCTAAGAGCAGTATTGGTAAAATAGTGTGTTGGAAATGTCATAAAATAATCGTGTTCCTTTCAATTGAGAACATGTTTCATAGCATGATATCTCAATTAAAAACAATAGTTTGATTAGTTGGAAAATGATATATGCTTCATTGAATATAGGACTTCATACCAATTATGGAGAAAACATTCATAGATCTCACGATATCATTGATTCTCTCTCCAAACTCCATCAATGAAGCCATCTAGATT